TTTTTTTTTTTTTTTTTTTTTTTTTTTTTTTTTTTGGTGCCAGGGATTGAACTCAGGCCGTTGTGCTTGCCAGGCAGGCACTTACACCACTTAGCTGTCTCCCCAGCCATTTTAGTATATTTAGTTTTAAGCCAAATGAAAAATAAACTGAAGCAAACTTTGTTTTAAAGGGGGTTCTATTTCTCTACCTGTGTCTGTCTAAAAAGGAACTTGCTTAGACAAAAACAGGTCATCTGTTGAATTTTATGAAGGAGAGATGGAAAGAAGAAAGGAAGAAAAGAATGGAGGAAAGAGCCAGGCATAGTGGGGTATGCCTGTAATCCCAGCACTCAGGAGATTGAGGCAAGAGGATTGCTGTGAGTTCAAGGCCAGCCTCAACTGCATAGTGAAACCTTTTCTCAAAAATAAATAAATAAATAAATAAATAAATAAATAAAGATTAGGGGAGCAGGAGGGAAGAAGGCTACCATAGGTTCTTAGTCTCCAAAATTTGCCCTTCTTGCCTGGGTCTTGCCTGAGTGATGCATGTTCCCAGTACCATAGTTGGCCTTGTTCTCTGTCCAGAAAGCATTGGTGAAAGCCAAGTTTCTAATTGTAGATCTTCACTTAGGCTTCAGGATATTGGCTGAGTTACTTACTTTCTCTGAATTTCAATTTTGTTATTTATGAAATTGGGTCAGTTCTATCAGTAGCGGTGCTTTACAATCAAATGAAATAGAGATGTGAACTCTGAGGACTTTGCAGTGTCATAGAAATGTCCTTTTGCTTCCTAGCATTCCTTCATGTTTTCTTATAACTGTCTCCTTTTTGCTGAGAGTCCTCCTGGTGAGAAAGAATAAACATTTCCTGTCACACAGTTGGATCACCAGGACAGCGCTGCCTGTAGTGCAAGGTGTATACACAGTCTCTTCTTCTGTCATCCCCTCAACTTCATGGTCCAGGTCACCCTTGGACAAATGTGCTGCCCTCTGGTTTACCCTGCAACTTCCTGCTATGCGGTAGCTCTCCTTGCAAGTACTAACAGCAAGAGATGTATGCTTTAAAACAGCCAATCTCTTTCCCCAAATTGCCAGAAAATGTTTTCTTTCAAAACTTCTCTCTGTTTGTAGAATATTGAGAAAGTTTTCTGTTGCTCGTTTTTAGGACAATGGACTGGTCAGCTGGGAAAACCCCAAGATGAGATGAATGAAGTAAAAATCCTGTCTCTGCGATCCCCAATATTCTTAACACAAGAACTTCAGGATCAAAAGAAACAGTTTGAAAAATACGGTTTGCAGGTTATAAAGGTATACACAGAAAAAGTACTGCATTAATTTGATAAAATTACCATTTGTATCTTACAAAAATTATTTTAAAATATGCAATTTTTTGTCATACTGTATTTAAATAATTGGACTGGTAAGTGGTTAAGAGGACGGACACTGTGCTGTTAACCATCTTGTTGTCAGTGCTTGGCATATAGTGATTGCTCAGTGAATTTTTATTAAATGAATTTATTGAAGAAGCAGCAGAGAATTTTGAAGAGCTAGAAGTCAAACAAAGACAATACTGGGGCAGAGGAAAATTTAATGCAACTTCATATGAAAAGTGAATTACATGTAAAGTAGTATGCAGTATGGATAGCACTTTGTTGTTGAGGATGTGGTTGTTTTGAGACAGGGTGTTGCTATGTAGCCCAGGCTGGCCTTGAACTCACAATGATCCTCTGGCCTCAGACTCCTAAATGATGGAATTACAGGCATGCACCACCATGCCTAACCATCAGCTTTATTTTTTAAGTAGGCAATCTAAGTAGCTGTTTTCTAGTCTCCCTTTGAGTCCTTCTTTTCCTTGGGTTCTAGGTAGAGAAGATAGACAACAGTGTCCTGATGGCTGCCTTCCAGAAGAAGAAGAAAATGATGGAAGGGAAAACGCACAGGGAGCCCGTGAGCCGCAGGCTGTTCCAGCAAGTCCCTCATCAGTTCTGCGATGTGGTTTGCAGAGTTGGCTTTCAGAGATTGTACTCTGTGCCCTGCGGTAGGTATCAGCCCCTGGTCTTCAGGCCTGCTTGTCTGGGAATTGACAGCAGACATCAGCAGCTGGCTCACCATGAAGAGCCTTCATTGCTGGGGGGCGGGGAATCATTTGTAGCTGGGATTTAGTGGCAAGGTTTTTGGAAAGGGTCATATGTCAAAGTTTCTCTTCATGTCTGTTGTTGATTGTGAGTTTCACATTGATGAAGGTATAAGCAGTTTGTTTTTTCCTCAGTTTTGTTTTTGTGTCTTATCAGAAGAGAGCACCTTGAGCCTTTTAAAAATTCTTTTGGCTTACTCATCTCAACAAAACTATTATCAACACCACTGAGAGCCATCCTCAGCCCTTCGTTAAAAGGACGTTTCCCTAAATTTAAGACAGTTGGTCTCCTCTTTTTCACCTCTTTATTTCCTGTAGCCACTTTGAGTGAATTAGATGTGGCAGATGAAGTTAGTAACATGTTTAGCTCCTTCTCAACCAAAAAAGCTCTAAGTGTTGCTTTCATGTCTCTTTTCAATTATTTAAAAATATGAGACATTTAACTGCTGTGTGGTGTGTTTTTCTCTTCAGTCACCATTAAAAAATTCTGGCTTTAGATTTCTCCAAAGGAAGCTAAAAATTTTGGAATCATCATGGAGGGAACCTAGCAATGTAGTTTTATTTTGCCTGGTCCATTAAATAGTAGCTACCTTTGCTGTGGAGTCATTTCTAATAGTCTTGATTTCTAGAAAGCAAAAGGTCTGGATTCATCTTTTCTTTGTCCAAGTGTGAACACAATCATGATCAGCAGTAAAAATGGAACATAGACAACTCCAAACAGGTAAAAATAAGTGAATTACCATTGTTCTGAGTTCAACCCAAGTCATGATCAATATGTTCCCTTCACTGCCAGAGTCTTAAACCTTCAACTTTCATTTGCTCCTAACTAGTTTCTCTAAACTATTTTTCATTAAGATCATCAGTATCTTCCTGTTTCCTAAATCTGACGAGGACCCCCCCATTTTCAGTCCCAGTGTTGCTACTTTTCTACCTGACTTCTATACACATCTTTCTTCTGAGAACATCTAAGACATACACCATCCTCCTAAGGAAGACAGCCCCACTGTGTCATCTGGTTTCATCATCAACCCTAAGTTCAGGCAGTCCCTTAAAAACAAGGAATTACTCCCACATATTCATCAGATAATATGAGAAGGAGCAAGAAATCTGCAGTGAAAATTCCCATTTTGGAAGAAGAGAAGAGAGGGCATGGTGGGGCATGCCTGTAATCCCGGCACTCAGGGAGACCTGAGGATCATGAATTCAAGTCCAGGCTGGGCAGCTTGGCAAGACCATTCCTTAAAAATAAGGGTGTAAGGGCTGAGGAGATGGCTCAATAGAATAAGCGCTTCCTTGGCAAGCACAAGGGCCTGAGTTCAATCCCGTGTATAGCTCATTGTAAAAGTCTTAAATTCAGTCAGTACCACTAACACGTACTAATAAATAAAAAATGTATAGTGCATGTCTATAGTACATAATGATCACATACATTCATTGTGGAGAATTGTACATGTACTTAGAGCAACTCAATTCTTGAAAATTGAACATATAACACTCAGTATGTGTGACTGGTCAATAGTAGTAAGGGCTCCTTATTCTGGGAATGGAGTAAATTTTTGCTCTCTGGGAAAATATTCCTTATGTGTTATAGCCCCACTACCTACTGGGGGGATCATGGATTGTTTCACAGGTTATCACATACTCAGGCTTATAATTTCTTCAGCAGTATGGTTCCTTTACTTCACTTCATTTATTTACTTACTTATTTTATATTTAATATGGTTCCTTTAAAAACTCAGCAGGCATGAAGCCTACTCACTTCTACTCAAGTTTACATCCTTCACCTCAGCCAAAGATCTTGTTTCCATATAGTCTTGAAGCCAAAAGGATTTCATCTTTTCCTTTGGGGCTCTTTGCTCTTGCCTACCTGCAAATCACCTTAGCTTAACAGTCATTCCCTGGGAGCAATTCAGACAGTAGATTTCATAGGGAGACACTACCTATAAAGTCACCAGTACCTATGGACTTGTCTCTGGGATGGAGGGAACTCTAACCTGATGTCACTGCACAAGCCTCAATTATGTGATGCTATTGTCGTGTGGAATACAAATCTCTTGGCTTTTTCAGATCTGCAGTGTTCTAAATAATAGGATTTTCGGTAAGTTTAGGTGGTTAGCCATAGGCAAGGCACTTCTGTTAGCAGAGCTTTCTCTCTCTCTCTCTCTCTCTCTCTCTCTCTCTCTCTCTCTCTCTCTCTATCTCCCTTTCCCTCTCTCTTACTTTCTTTCATTTATTCTATGCTTGCCTCTAGCCAGTTCTGTTCTGAGTTCATCTCTTGCTTATAGGACTTGGTTGAAGAAAGTAAGGAGTCTACACACTTGAAATATTGTATTCATTCATTACACAATTATTTATTATTTTAAAATTTTATTAGTATATGTTTGTAGTACATAATGATTGCTTTCATTGTGGAGAGTTGTATACGTACATGTAAAAATGTTGTTTTAATTTTCAAATAGCCAGTGGTGTTGAACATTCTTTCATGTGTTTATTGGTGGTTTGTGCTTCTTTATCCAAGAAGTGTCTATCCATTTAGACGCCCACTTTTTATTTGGTCTTTAATTTTTTTTTGGGGGGGGTCTGATTTTTGTGAGTTTTTTAAAACATATACTAGAATATATATACCTTTGAATATAGCTTTCAAAAAGATTTCCCCATTCTGTAGATTGTCCCTTCATTCCATTGGTAGTTTCCTTTGCTGCACAGAAGCTTTTTAATTTGATGTGATTTATTTTGTTGATTTTGGTATTATTTCTTGTACAATGAGGATTGTATTCAGAAAGTGCCTACACTGATGCCTTTAAGAGTTTTAGCTATTATATCCTCCAGCAGATTGTTTGTATTTGAATGTTATCTTTGACCCACTTTGATTTTAGTTTAGTTTAGTTTTGTTTTAGTATAAGGTCTATAGGGTCTCATTACACAACTCAGACTCCTAGTGATTCTCCTGCTTTCAGCCTCTCAAGTGCTGGATTACAGGCGTGCACTACAATGCTCAGTCTCAGTCATTGTCTCAGTGTGCCTTGGGAATGGGGCCGGCACGGCACATCAGGGATTGAATGATTATAGTTTGTACATATTAAGATATATGTGTCTAGTTCCATCTTTAGCATGTGTATAGCCAGTTTTTCCAGCACCATTTCTTAAAGAGGCTATCCAAGTTAGGCATAGTGGTACACCCCTGTAATCCTGGCACTGAGGAGAATCACCTCAAGTTCAAGGCCATCTTGGGCTACCTAGTGAATTCAAGGCCAGCCCGAACTACATAGTAAGATCTTATTTTTTTAAAAAAATACAGGATTTTACTATGGTACAGGATTTTACTATGCAGCTCGGACTCATAGTGATCCTGTTTTCAGCTTCCCAGTGCTGGGGTTATAGGGGTGCACCACCATGCCTGGAAAAGTCTTTTTTGTTGTTGTTTTTTTAAAGAAGCTATCTTTCCTTCAGTGATAGTGGTCATTCATGTTTTGTATTGGTTTGTTTAATTTACTTAGATTTTTAGTAGTGTCTTGTGAAAGTTCCTGTATCATTTTGTTTATTACTTCCATTATCTGTTAATTATATCTTCTGTGATCCTGCTGAGTACCACTTCTGTTTTCTAACCTCCTCCATTATCCTTCTAAGAAATCTGGGGGTGTGGTTTATGATATTCTGTCCTTAGGTGCCTCCTGGTTTGTCTTCTGGGGAGTCGGGCATTTGGGGAGGTTTTTATGTTGCCCTGTCTTGTTATGTTTCTATGGCCTGTTTCTTTATTTTGTTTTGTGTTGGTGTGTGTGTGTGTGCTGAGGTTTGTGGATGTTTATAACATAAAGACTTTGTGGCTAATATAAAGATCTAGTATAAAGACTTTTGGCATGGATAGCTGTACTCCTCTGTGTCAGTCCCAAGATCTGACCACCTTCCTTAATATGGAAAGAGAGGAGAGTGAGACTACCCAGGGCCGCGGGATCCTGAATAGACCAGGAGCGCAGGCCTGGTGAGTGAGTAAGATGACCCAGGGCCCGCGGATCCTGAATAGACCCAGAGCCCAGGCCCGGCATGTGAGTGAGACCACCCAGGGCCTGCGGGATCCTCATT